GCACATCTAGGTTACTTATCTAATTACATAATGAACATGTCTAGTTGAAAATACTGTAGATCTAGGTTACTTATCTAATTACATAATGAATATGTCTAGTTGAAAATACTGTAGATCTAGGTTACTTATCTAATTACATATTGAACATGTCTAGTTGAAAATACTGTAGATCTAGGTTACTTATCTAATTACATAATGAACATGTCTAGTTGAAAATACTGTAGATCTAGGTTACTTATCTAATTACATAATGAACATGTTTAGTTGAAAATACTGTAGATCTAGGTTACTTATCAAATAACATAAAGAACATGTCTAGTTGAAAATACTGTAGATCTAGGTTACTTATCTAATAACATAAAGAACATGTCTAGTTGAAAATACTGTAGATCTAGGTTACTTATCTAATTACATAAAGAACATGTCTAGTTGACCTTCTTTATCTACAAGATTTTTTACACAATGTAGATGAGTTTTTAATGTGTAATTTAGTTATTCAACTACAAAATGAACAAGTCTAGCCAACTTCCTTAACTTGAAAATTACTTATTGAATTATAAAATTAAAAGAAATTTCAAGCCTTGTACTCTATAGTTTCTCAAATCGACTACAAAAATGTATTTAGGAAAAAGCAGATACAATAAATCAGAAGAGCTTAACATCATGTAACAATTTGCAGGACTACTATTCTTACGTGGTGAAATAAAAACAACACTTACAGCTCTCATAGGGAAGAAAGGAACTTGGATTGTAATCAACCTTTTTCATATACCGTAAAATTCCACTTTCTTTAAAAGCAAAGATGTTTCTTTCTCCTGAATAGAAGTGAAGAAAAATAAGAGAAAAACATATACTTCTACCAAACTGTGCTGTCTCTTTCAAAATAAAACTATAACTGTTCAGATTCAGTTTGGTTTAAATTTTATTAACATAAGAACCATTTCTACAAATATGTGGCCTTTGTACATGTTTGTTTCTTACTTATAGCAGTTTGAAAACAGAGTATTTTAAAGTTTGCAAAACACAACTCAAAATCATAAATATATCGTCTAGACGTTGGGGGTCCGCGATAGTACATGAGGGGATCCGCATGTAATTGATCAAATATTTATGAAATTACCATTTACTGAAAAGTAACAAATAAAATAAAATGCAAGGTTTCTCTCAACTTGCTTACATAAAATCAAAGTATTGAAATAAGATAAATGTGGAGGCAGATCTTCGTTTGAAATTGTCAGACACTGACCCAGAATTTTGCAAGATTGTTTCAGCAAAGCAGTATCATCCTTCACATTAAAGTTAGTCATAAGATTTTTTTTTACATTTTCCATATTTAAATCTCTTTTCATTGTTCTTTTCTTAAAACTGGAATCAAACTGTAAAGTAGTAAAATACACGTACGATACACCAGTTACACTTGATAAAAACTATTGTTAACAGCAGGTGGTCCGCAAATACAATAAATAAGTTGAAGGGGGTCTCCTGGTTGGCAAATTTTGAGAACCCCTGGTCTAGACAATGGGGTTATTTTCATTCTCACAATCTATTTTCCTGTGAGTTTCAAAATGTTTAGTTATTAAACTATAAGCTATTTTGTTGAAACTAAACTTGAGTTTAAAGATTAGTGGGGGTCTGTTTGAAGCAACTTTACACATTCGATGACGAGTTACCCACTTTGAGACTAATAATGGCTGGAGACGGCTTGAATGGGTAATGAAGGTTTCGACAAGGTTGTACATTTGCTGTTATGTTAAACTTATATTAAAGTTTTTATTCATTACCCATTCAAGCCGTCTCCAGCCATTATCAGCTTTACACAGTTAAGAGACGAGCAAGATACAGTGAAATAAATACTGCAGCTTATGTTACAAAGTAGGCATGACCTCATTAGGCTAGTGACCATATCACTGCTAATAAGAATTTGTCAAACCCAGCTTTCAGTCCCTGTGCATGTTGACAAGGTATAGTGTTGTAAGCTATATTTTCAATGGTTTAATTTAAATGTTAGCTAGAAGATGAATGACATTAGGATCATAAAACAAGTCCTGGAATATTCACATATGTTAGTGACTGGGAGACTTTGCAAAGTGTCTAGAAACAAGGCTAATATATAAATATGAGAATCAATGAGACATTGAGTCAGTTTTTCAATTGAGAGAGTGCCAGTTATTCAGCGAAGTATTTCGATATTCAGTTACTTGATTGTTCAACTGTGAAATAATACAGAAGTAAATTTACCTGTACATCTATATAAACAACAATATGTGTGCTTGTATCTGTTTCTCATACATTTCCACACTTCTTCATCAAACAGCACCAAACTTGATACAGTGATAGAGGATGACATTAGAAGGGGGTGGGGCTGGACCTCCTATCAAATTTTGGAAAAACTACCAATATTGTATGCCTCACAATATTAGAATGAACTATGTAACCACTACTGTTAGAATTCTTGAAAACAGTATGTCTTTTGTTTCATTATTGGCACTTTTAATATTTATTATGTTAAAAAAAAAATAGAAGCACAGTTTCCTATCCTTTGTTACAAATAAGTTTTTATTTCACCCATCCAAGGGACGATTACTCCAGCTAGTGTCATAATACTATTAGAGAGTAGTTCTCTGTTAAATTTGAAAGTAAAAACTTTATGTGTGGACTAGGGCCTACAACTGTGTACAATGGACAGTAGCCAACATTAAGTAAGAGATAAGCTAAGTTGCTATGGTTGAGTGGTGTATATTTAGCTCTATTTTTATCAAATAATCCACAAGTACTCACCAATGAAAAACACAACACTACAACAATAGATATACCAATGAAAAACACAACACTACAACAATAGCTATATCAATGAAAAACACAACACTACAACAATATCTATACCAATGAAAAACACAACACTACAACAATAGCTATACCAATGAAAAACACAACACTACAACAATAGATATACCAATGAAAAACACAACACTACAACAATAGCTATATCATGGAGTAGTTTTTTAATTCACTAAAAATTTACCAAAAAATCAAATAAGGTTACAAAAAAAAAAATATACTGCCACCAGAATGGAAAGGGTTAGTCAAGTACCAATTCGTGAAGCTCGAAGTGCTAGCAAAAGCAAGTTACACAGTTGTGCTACACCAGGAGTCAAAATAATTCAGAATTATCACTAACTCGAGGGGAAAGTGAACCATCATGTTGACTTGCCCACAGCTGGTTAAGCTTGACCTAAATATTCAAGAGGAAATATCTTACTTTGCACCATATTTTAAGGGACTTACAAGGATTTCAGTAAAGGAATCAATATTTTTTACTGTTCTTAAGTGATGATTTATTTATTAAACAACATTGAACACTTGATCAGAAGAAATCAAAGCATGTAAAAATCTTCAAGAAAGACAGATGCAACAAATTTTCAACAAATGATAATCACTGTTCTACCTTTAACATAGCCTGGTGTCAAGAGTTCATACTATTTATTCACTGTCCTCTGAATCTGAAGTCCAAGCAGCTTCATATGCCAAGCCAGGCAAGGCAGGGCAGGATCAGCCGGGGTTACCTCCAGACAGACCATCTACAGAATCAGATGAAGTCAGAGATCTCTTGAATTTTTTTTGAGGCCAATATGGCCTTGCACTTGCTTCCCAGCTGACAACCATATTACTATGGCAGAGTGAGGGTCCTAGTTCATAGTATGTAATTTGACAATTGAATATGCATAAGACTGCAGACTGTACTTGGTTTTGACTTGGACATCCATCCAGTTTGATCTTATTTTTTCATCAGACTGAATTCCTGTTTACACTACTGACTGAAAACACTAGAATCAAATTGAAAACAAGTAGTATATTTGGCCATCTGTCCCAAACATTGCTGAGAACCCTTTCCCATAAATCTATGTAGCCTATGGTAGTGTCCTGTTCTTTTGGGTGGCTCTCCATGGTGGTGTCTTGTTCTTTTGGGTGGCTATCCATGGTGGTGTCTTGTTCTTTTGGGTGGCCCTCCATAGTGGTGTCCTGTTCTTTTGAGTGGCTCTCCACGGTGGCGTCCTGTTCTTTTGGGTGGCTCTCCATGGTGGCGTCCTGTTCTTTTGGGTGGCTCTCCATGGTGGCGTCCTGTTGTTTTGGGTGGCTCTCCATGGTGGTGTCTTGTTTCTTTTGGGTGGCTCTCCATGGTGGTGTCTTGTTCTTTTGGGTGGCTCTCCATGGTGGTGCCCTGTTCTTTTGGGTGGCTCTCCAGCGTTTTGTGTAATATTTCTGCTCTTCTTACCCATGGTGACAATCCATGACAATTTCTAATTTCCAGGACCTGTATGAAATGTGTGGTAAGCCATTCCTGACCATAAACCCTAAATGCTTCTACATCCATAGGCCAGTTGGATAGCTCAAAGATGCTGGTTGAATGGTATGTAGGCTACACCTACCAGTGCTGTATAGTTCATGTATTTTGACCCTCAAATGAAACTTTAACATTTCTAACCAACAAGTATTCAAGTGAAATAAATCACTGTTTACTTACTACCATCCTAACTATTTTGAAAGTGTCATTTAGATATTTGAATCTATCTTGACTTCAGATTTGATGACAAGGAACCCACCTTTTTAGAAAATAAAAAATAAATTTTGACTTCCTTTGATAATGTTACTGCAAGGTAAGCAGAGAATTATACACACTAAACATTTAGCATTTAACCAGAAGTTGTTCAAAGAACATCTTTAGATAAGCTCCGCCCACAGCTCATCTGATATATATTTTTTTCGTCCACGACAGTTCTAGGCCTACCTTACTACTAAGTATTAAAACAGAATATAGCTGTTGAGGCAGTGACTATGGATTCCTCTCAGACTGTCAGTTCTGCCTTGTATGTAAGCTTTTTTTGGCCCACATTTCCATGTGACATGTTTACTGTTGCATAAAAATTAGGATTGCCCAACAGGCAAGTTAAGCTGCACAAAGGACTTGCCCATATCAAATTTAGGTTATCATGGGCAGGCATTATTTAGTCCCTTAGTAGAAATTTAAAGCTGGGAACATTAACAAAAATATGCTACACAAATGCTACCAAGAACAAATATGGAGCTGGAAATGTTAGCAAAAACAAGTTACGCAGTCACTTTTAATTATCATACTTAAAAAATACTTAGATAAACATAATTTGTTCTCTACCCATTCAAACATGATTTATATCTACATATCTTTTTTCCAAAATGTTCACAAAGCCATAAAAAGAAATAAAGAAAACAGCTCTTAACAGAAAATTTTTGTAAACTTTAAACAGTTGTATGACATCTGACAGAATTTCTTAATGACCTCACCCAAGACAAATATTGTAGATGGTGCGTTACTGAACTCTGCAACAAAGAGGTCTAGGGCTGCTTCTCCAAGACTAAACAACCAGTCAGCCTATTGGAAACAACAACATTAACTTCAAGATTACATATCTAATTACAGAACAAACATGCCTAGTTGACATTATTCAACTTTGAGATTACTTATATAACTACAGAATGAACATGCCTAGTTGACATTATTCAACTTTGAGATTAGTTATATAACTACAGAATGAACATGCCTAGTTGATATTATTCAACTTTGAGATTGCTTATCTAACTATAGAATGAACATGCCTAGTTCACATTATTTAACTTATAGATTACTATCTAATTACAGAACGAACATGCCTAGTTGACCATATTTATCTTATAGATTACTATCTAATTACAGAACGAACATGCCTAGTTGACATTATTCAACTTCAAGATTATTTACCTAATTACAGAATGAACATGCCTAGTTCACATTATTTAACTTGTAGATTACTATCTAATTACAGAATGAACATGCCTAGTTGACATTATTTAACTTATAGATTACTTATCTAACTACAAAATGAACATGCCTAGTTGACGTTATTCAACTTCAAGATTATTTACCTAATTATAGAATGAACATGCCTAGTTGACATTATTTAACTTATAGATTACTATATAATTACAGAATGAACATGTCTAGTTGACCATATTTAACTTAGATTACTTATCTAATTACAGAATGAACATGCCTAGTTGACATTATTTAACTTCAAGATTACTTATCTAATTACAGAATGAACATGCCTAGTTGACATTATTTAACTTATAGATTACTATCTAATTACAGAATGAACATGCCTAGTTGACATTATTTAACGTATAGATTACTATCTAATTACAGAATGAACATGCCTAGTTGACATTATTTAACTTCAAGATTACTTATCTAATTACAAAATGAACATGCCTAGTTCACATTATTTAACTTATAGATTACTATCTAATTACAGAACGAACATGCCTAGTTGACATTATTAAACTTCAAGATTACTTACCTAATTACAGAATGAACATGCCTAGTTCACATTATTTAACTTATAGATTACTATCTAACTACAGAATGAACATGCCTAGTTCACATTATTTAACTTATAGATTACTATCTGATTACAGAGATATAGAGAAACTGGTTGTGTGGAAGAGAATAAGTAGAAGAAAACTTCTACAACAGCAGATGATCATGTTCTGAAATGCGTGCACCCGCGGAATCATCGATCAACTGTCATCCACAGATCTCAAAAGATCATGACAGGAAACTTCAAGGGTTACTATTACCGTGTGCACCATCTGGTCTCCTCTGTGTTCAGCCAGTTTCCCAGCAAGATGTCCAGGAAAGAAACCCCTCTTCACAAACAAAAGGAAATGAGACTTAACTGGGCCAAAGAGAATTGAAGCAACGTGGAGAGGAGTTTCATCCACTGTGTTCGATTGCAAGTGTGAAGCATCTGTAGAGTCAGGTGATATGGGGATACATCTCTGGCTAGGGTGTGAGACGTATGAATTTTGTGAAAGGCATTGGTCAATGCCAACAAGTACACCTAGATCTTTGAGTCCTAGGTTAAAGCCAACAATTCAGGATCACTCCGGTGGAGCTGACCAGTGTACATTCCAGGATAAATCTGCTCTATGCTACAGGGCTGAAAAGGTTGGTAACATTCACACACTCTATGAAGTTGACATGACATAAAGAAGAATTTTCACTCTATATGTATTGAAAAGACATTTTAGGTTTTATTTCATTGCTTCAGGTGAAGGACTATCTTCGAAAGGAGAGGATCCGGACATTACACTGGCCAGGCAACAACACATATCTCAACCTTATTGAAACTGCTGGAAGATAATGGGCAACAAACTGAAAGGTAAGAAACCAGGAATCACCTTGGAACTGCAGGAAGCTTTAATTCATCGTGTGCCATCATGAACTAACCCTTGCCTACATTCAGTCTCTCGTGCCATAATGATGTCAAGCAGTTATCAGGGTCAAAGGGGACACAAAAGAATATTAAAACAAGAAACATATTCTTTGACTACTTTGTCAATTACATTAATAGCTTTATCTTTAAATCTAGATTTTCATACTCAGTGAACAGAGTATGACACTTATGAATCAAGAAAAGTGTGAAAAATATTGGTTGATGTAATAATTTTTCCACCAGTGTAGTTCAACCCTCTAT